GCAACAAGCTGATCTGCAGCCACATTTTCTCATCCGAGAATGTATGTGTAGATCTTCTTATAACTACTGTATGTGTATACTAATGTAAATCAAGTAGAGTTCAATGGGAATCGAACCCACGATGTATGTGAATACTAATGTAAAGTAAGTAGAGTTCAATGGAAATCGAACCCACAACCTCAAAAGAAGCAATCTCTGTCCACTCGACCAGAGATCTCTGCCACTGAGCTATCAAAGTACTTATCACTCTTCGACTATTTGTTATACACATACAACCAGTTTAACAGTGAGCTCTATGCTCAGGTCTTTCTCCTACAGACATGCTCTTCGAGCCATATCTCCAAAATGATCTTTGAAAATAATTTTAAAGGATTTAACCTTCCTACCGAGCCAAATTTATATCGAACAATCAGAAATCCACAAACTTCAGCCTTCAACAATATTTTCGCAACAATTTTCCACAGAATTTTGCAACTTTGTCAACAATTCAATCTTAGTAGCTATACACAATGAAGATATCATACAAGAGTACCAAAAAAAAAATTTATGGCTTGATCTGGATCTGCTAATGCGCAATAACTTTCAAAAGTTTCACAGATACAAATGTCAAGCTTATTATTTTCGTTGACATTTTTAGAGCAGCATATTTTAAATTAAAATTTCATGCTGAGTGCTTGGCACTGATACATTTTTAATGAAGTTTAAAATAATATGTTTGACTTTTTTTGTTTAATTTAATTTAATTTTGAAAAATCAATTTAAAAATGGAAAAAAATTATTTTTTGTGATTTTGGTCGGAAATTAAAGTTTAAGTTTTAAAAGCTAGGTTAAAAGTAACTTGAATTGGATTCAGGCGGTTGGGATTTAATACGAATTAAAGCTCAAGTTAAAACTCTTTTAAAAAGTCTAAGAGAATTTCCATATAAACCTACTCTTAATCCTTGAAATTTTTTTTTAAAAATTTTGTCAAAAAAATCCATTCCCGAGTGGACAAAGTACTAGTTAAAAGCTTGCCATTGACTTGCCTTTTCACGGCGAGTAAGTATCCATTGACGTGCCTTTGCAACTAGACTTAGGGACGACTAATGACATATTTTGCGCTTTCCATTTAACTGGACATAGGAATTGCAAATATGTCTAGTTAATGTCCAGTTACAAAAAAATCGAAATAAAATAAATAACACGTGTCTTTTTCTCCATATTTTTTTCTTTTGTAAAATTTTATTATTGTATTAGTGTAATTAATTAATTAAAGTACACTATCACTTATGAAAAATCTCTAGTAAAAATTGAGTCTCGAACACTTGCGCGTGAAACAATTATATTTACTTAAAAGTTTCATACAAATTTTGGTGGACCTTATATAAGTGATTTCTGTAAGCGCTTGTGAAGTATATGGTCAAAAAAGTAAGGAAAATTATTTTTGAGTTTCGAACACTTGATTGATTAGCATGAATGTCCAGTTAAAGTCTAGTTAACGTATAGTTCTCTATGTCGTATATATTTCGACAAGTTAAAAGACTGTTAAATGATTGTCCAATAATGGACTTTAACTGGCTGTGTCCACCCGGGATTGTTTCTATGAAAACCACCTCTACACAACTCGTAGCTTTAAGCTGTTTTAATTCTTATATTTCAATTCTTATTCCAAAAATAAATAAACAGAACAAGTCAAAATAAAGACTTTTCCTTTCAGCAATTTTCTGTCAATACAAAAACGATCTAGTTTTAAAGAAATTACTTCCACTCCTTATTAATCGCATTAAAATTGTAATTCTGTGTAATGTAATGTTTACATTATTCATAAAAATAGCTTTTATAATGCAACAGCATTATTATCTAATTGAAATATAAAATGGATGTTTGTGAATAATAATTATGAACTATAAAATGAAAAACATGATATTTGCATTTTCACGTGAATTTCCCGCGAGGTATAAACATGCACAAATATGATGAAAGCTTTTAATAATTTTTTATTTTGTGTTTAAATAAAGGAAAATTGTTTGGATTTCTTTTATTTTCTATGATTTATTGTTACAGGATTTGCATTTAATGAGACCTCGTTTTAACAGTTATTTTTAGTTCTTTTATAATGTTATTAAATATGTTTTATGCATTAAACATTTATGCATAGAAAATTTAAAGGGGAGGAGAGTTTTTATTTTTTAACACCCCCCCCCCCCCCCCCCCCCACCTCCCACACCTTTTCGTTTACGATACTGATTTTAAGAGTTTTAAAGATAATCCAATTTTATTCTTTTTAATATATTTCAGTAACCAATTTCTAGAGCACCAAACTTAATTTTCTCTCAGTTGATTCTAAGGATTTCAGAATTCTCGAAAACGGGAATTTTGGAAACCCGATTTGATTTTAGTATAGGTTTCAAAGTGTAGAAAACTAATCTGTTTTTGGACCTGACCGAAATCAACTTCTTTCTCATTTTCTTCTATAACCGGTCTCTAGAACTTAAAACCAATAACAAATTCAAAAAAAAATTATTTGAATTATTTACAAAAGCCAAGGGTGCAGAACTTATGAATTGATCAAAAGATTGAAATTTATCAAAAATGATCAAAAAATGATTAAAATTTATCAAAAATGATTAAAAATGATCGAAAATTATCAAAAATTATCAAAAATGTTCAAAAATGATCATTTGATCAAATGTAATTTATCAGTTCCACACCCTTGACTAAAAACTAGTCCATGAACAAAAGCTTTATCAATTTCATATTCAATTTGCGTGAAGTTCCAACGAAAACCAATAAATCAAAGCCCAATCCATAGTCCACGAACTAATTGATAGTTTTTTTTTGTTGTATATCAAACTATAAGCAACCTTCCCGTTCCCCTTCCTACCTCCCATCACATTACCAACATATCCATTTAATATCCATGCATAATTACATTCCGAGTAAATAGTTTATATCCTACTAACTTGAAAAATGATTAATTATTGACCTACTAATCAAATAAAAAAAAACCACAACACCTAAATTGATTTTTCAATCTCTAAATGTAATTATATCCAATCCCATTGTTGAGCACAATCCAAATATTTATTGATTTATAAATTGATAGATTTCGAGCCTAACGAAAATGAATAAAATTAATATAAAATTACAAGCACAAATTTTTGTGTGTTTGGATATCAAATTGGCATGAAAATGAAATTGACATATAACATGTTTATTAGTCATTTCATGACTTTTGATCCGTTTTGACGGTGATAAATAATATAAATTGTTTTGTTATACAAAAAAATAAAAGAATAAGCTGAATTGTAGCCTAATAGATAGAGAGTTCAAGTTTCATTGATACGAACATGACACTACATCATAAGAGTCATTGTTATAAGCCTTGAACTTACTGAGAATTATAGAAGTAGAGTGATTCTAATAATAGAATGGAAAAATAGAGCAAATAATCAATATTGGGTATAGAAGTGAAGCTATAGTGTTCGTGGAAGATGATAATAATATTTCCACGCAGATTCTAGTCTATTGACGATGTTTTATGGCTATTAACAGGAAATGACATGCGAACGCTATGTTTTTATGAAATGACAAAGAATCATAGCTTAGTTTCATAGGCTTGTATGATGTGGAAAGATATGCTCTGCTTACGGGGATAACAAAAAGATGGGAAAGAGTTTTGATGGGAACAAAATTGCTGCATAATTTTCTCATCATGTTCTTGTCTCCTTTGCTCTACCTAGACCATTGATCAGCTTTATTAAATTGTTTCTATTTACGAATCAAACGCAATGATGAAAGTTGATTTTATTTAAATTAAAACAGAACATAAAAGCCGCTGAATCAATCAAATGCTTTCAAAGAATATAAACCGAGTCTTACATCCCAAACTAGTCTGATCTCAATAATTTAAATGTGCTACATCCATTGTTCCATCAACAATATTCACTGAAATTTCCAATTACTTAATAAACTTAATTTACATAACAATTACAGCTTGAAGTTCTCTTTCATGGATATTAAGCAATCGACAAAGAAAGAAATTAATCGCAGTGATAGTAGTTGTTAGCAGGAGCGACATAAATTGACATAGTAATTGAATGGATGAGGAAAAAATATCGCAATTACTAGCTACTCGGTTGGAAAGTTGTCAATAGCTTATAAAAAATTTAGAGTGTATACATTGTAGACAAGAAATATTGTCATTGCTAATAACGACAACAAAGACAATAATGGTAAATGATAACAATCTTGATTACAATAAATATGGAGATAGTGTAATACTTAATCCCTGAATTTGGATAAATAAATCAGACTTGAGGTGTTAGCAGGGATGGATATTTGTAATTGATAGAAGTTGGGAATCTGCCAGCGTGAGCTTAAGGCTTCTGTATCAGGAGAGGCTAAGCAATAGACTGAATATCGGTATCCCTTTTATGTAAAGACGTGCGTTCGATTCCCACCATAGACTGCTCTCTCAATCATTCAACAAGGATTTGCGCAATACTCACGACCTTACACCACCCATCATGTTGTTATCCCCCTTAATCACAATCCATTACACTAGCTGCAACTTTTACTCATATCACGTAATTACAAGATGTCAGTACCATACATAATTCGATGAATAGCTGTTACATGAGTCAAATATTCCATAATTCTCTATACCAAGCATCCCATACATTGCAGACAGCTGCAAGAAGAGACCACACACATAATAAAACCAGCTTGTGAAAATATCCATAATTGTTACTGGTAATTACAATATGTTGGTTATTATAGTCTACCCAACCCTGTAGACAACACAATACATGAAATATATCCTTCACACACTTTACACACAAAATGGGTATACACAAGAAGTGGAGCATGACGTAAGTATGTAAATAGTCAGAATCGAGTGTATAATTATAATGTAAATATTAATTACTTTTGGCATATTGAATGCGACAGTTTAGGTGACTGCTCTATATTTATTTCTGGGAGTAGATGATATATAATGTAAATGTTCTCGGACTTACCTATTTTTGCATCAGCATTTTCCAGCATAATAAATAAATAAAACCACGTAAACGAAATCGTCGAAAAGGACTTCAATATTCTACTGAGGCCCATTTTAAATATCCTGGGATATCCATTATGTGCACAATATTAACACATGTGTCCTTTTCATAATACCATATCCATAATAATATGATGCCAGTGGATATTCTTCTTTATGCTGTATATATAAATTGTGCTGTGCTTTGCGACGTTGCTGGTTTTGTGGTTTTACTTATAAAAAATTTACTTCCTTTTTTTATGCTTTGTGTCTATTTCTTTCTCATAAGTTAAGTTCTCCTTCACTTTATTATGTTTCACTAGAATGTTCACTCATCCATAAAAATTCATTTATATTTTTTTTGCATACACATGAGCTACTTGCTAGCTACCGCTTCAATTTCAATTGTTATAAAGCTTGTTCTTATATTTTTTTAAGCATAAACATTCATCATTCACATGTTGAAAAAAAAAATATGAAAAGAAAGCCGCACTCACTTTCTTCTTAGCTGCTACGTTCACAATTCACAGGATAAAATAAAAATGTTGTTGCGGGGGTGTGAAGAGAAAGTAAACAGAGACGCTTGAAAGAGCGAGTAAATTAGATGAAGAGTAAAAAAAACTTCGTCCTTCCTCCTATTGCATACGTAATGTGATGGGAATGGTACATGCATATTTTATAGATTAAAACGAACCAAGTGTTGATGTTGATGTCGAGAAAATGAAATTAAGGTGAAAAAGAGAAGTAAAAGAAGCGAGAAATTGGTAAAGTTAAATCACATTATTCTTTTTTTATTTTAAATAAATATATATGTGTGAATAATGAAGGCACAAGTTTGAGTCAGGGGTTTCATTTTGTGTGGTTTTTTGAGAGAGTTTCAATAATTTTAATAAATCAAAAACAAAAAAACCTTAAAACTGAAATTTAAAAAAAAAGAATACCAATCGAGGGATTTTCAATCTCTGAACCTACGCCCCACCCCTCTTCCTTCCCCTTTCTACTACATATTTAAACCCAAGCAGGGACGCAGTCAGAAAGCTTCTAGAGTGGTTTTCACATTTTTCCAACGTTTTTTTAATTCGGATCTAAACGTTTCAATAATTTCTGGTGTAAACTTTCTTAAAATAGAGGGTTTGACCCCTTTACTTCCTCCCTACGCCCTTATACTCTATTCACAATTTTATGCATACTCAATAATGTCGAGACATTAATTTCAAATCCTAGAAGCAGGGAAACTATGGCTAATCCAAGAAACCAATTCCTGAACCCCTCCAATCTCATATATTGTGAAAATACTAACCACAAAGGCACTCAACACACCGTATTACTATTATTTAATTTATTTTTCCTCCTTCATTCTCGCGCGTCACATTTCAAACCGAGACGGATGAAGGTGAAGGAAATGAGAAAAGAAAAATAAAAGGTGGCATGAAAATCAATATGTAAATTTATTCGTTTAATCAAAAACCTAAAACATGTTGGAGGTTGAATTATAAATCATTTTAATCATATCTTATTTTCTAGTTTCTCTCGTTCATATGCACAGTCAAGCGTAAATTGAAATAATAGTTTATGAAGTTGGGTGGAATGTTTTTCAAGTTTTTGGGGATTGAAACGCAGTTTTTTGGTTTTTATTGTGCTAATAAGTAGGCAGCAGTAATAAGTTGTGTCGAATAGCAGAATCGAGTAGAAATCCGGAACAGACTCTGGCGTGGTGCTGTACTCAAATCAAATCCGGCATCATGCTAGAATTTTTCCACATAGCTTGATTGTCAGCTCAATAAACTTTTTAAATTTAGTAGTTTTTTGAAATGTTTTCTCAACACTTAAGCCTATTGAAGAATTTTTCCCATTGAGGGGAAGAATTTGACTACTTAACCTTCATGGATAAGCTTTGATGTCCTGAAACCAGGTGCGTAGATAAGAGGGTCCTGCCCCCTTCTTAAGCGTTTTAGGGGGATAAGACTCTCCTGGCTATGCGCCTGCCTGGAACTGAACTATTAGGAGTCCTTAAAGCCAAAAACTACTCCTGAGACAATAATTGCTACAGTTTTAAAATAATATCACTTTAACTTTCTTAAATTCCTTAATACTGTTCAATTTTAAATCCTTTAAATCCGATTTTCCTATACAATCCTTTAAACAAACAAAAATAATCTTTATGATCCAGTTTAATGCTTTATATTTTGTTTTTCTTCTTCCTCCATCCACTCATTCCCAGCCACTTATTCATCCAAAAAAGAAGTCATGTCAAAAGCCATAATTCCAATGAAGAAAAAAAAATCCACAATCAAAAAATAAATAAATAATAAAAACATTATATATTTACATAGACGTTTCTCATTTCCATCAAAAACCAACCCCAACCCGTCTCATTTTCATGAACGACAAACGCTCGTCCGCCACAACAGTGTCAAATGAAAAATGTTAAAATTGTGACTTGATTGAATGGGTTTTCGCATGTTGTGCGATATCATGAGACGACACACAATACCAAAATATAATTTTAAGGAGAAGGCAATTGCCAATGGAACGGAGTCTTAAGTACACAGAAAACTTTGAAATCATGCGCAAAAATTTTTAAGCAAGGCTTTAATAAATTTCTGCTGATTGCCATACTTTTCTTGTTATCTTCTTTATCACTCTCTTCTCCAACCGCGAAAAACTTGCTGGCATTGAAAAAAAAAATCGTTTTTCCCTTCCTTCCTTTCCTTAATAATTTTCAAATAAATTAATTAACAGATGATGACAAAACACATTTTTTTCCTCTCTTTCTCCCTTAACGCTATTAAATCTCATTGCCTTTTATTTTATTTTATTCTTAATCTTCGTGCTCTAATTTTCCTTTCTTCTTTTCCACTTCTTCCTCCTCTTCCTAGGCTCCCTTCGTTCAGCCTTTAAAGGAAACTTGATTCTTCATTCTCGAAAAAAATAAAATTATAAAGTGATGGAATAGAAAAATTGCCGATTTTTTAAACAGATTATGATGGAATAGATGCGGTATTTGGGGATTTTTGACTGCATGGGTAGTGATTTATTGAGACAGGAATTAGAGATGTGGAAATATTTTTGAAAATTGTGTAAATTCGTAGGATTTGTGATTTTAATCATTAAAATATGGAATTTTTATAAGAATGTGGCTTTTGATTAGATTAAATAAAGGATGAGGGTTAACATAAAAAATTTAAGCAATAATGGGCAGGGGCGTAGCCAGGAATTTGAAGAGGGGGACAAAAAAAATTTTGTATGGAAAATTTTAAGGAGGGGGATTTTTGTTATTTTAATGATTTTTTCATAAAAACCCTAGCAAAATAAAGAAATTTCTGTTTACGTTGGGGGATTTGCCCCCCCCCCCTGGCTTCGCACCTGATAATGGGGTCTGTATAGGTTTTGGACCAACACTTTCTTCTGAATGTGTCACTGATTGGTCATTAGCACAATGACTCGTAACAAAAAAGGAGACCTTGAAGAGGTACTTGACATGGAAACAAGTATTAGTGTGAACCAGAAGATCCAATCCGATTTGATGCTTCTTTCTCGTCTTTTACGTTTTCTCACATGCGACCGTGACCTCATCAAAAAATGATATAGTACTTCTCAAAATTTCAAGGACTAAAATTGAACAATTAAGACGCAAAAAGCTTGATACTCATAATAACAACATCATCAAACACATCCAAAAATGCGTCGCAATTTCCCATCCAACAAGTATTTCAAAACAAATTTTTTCTCGTCTCATCGCATTTCCCACACAAAATTATATTACAAAAAAAAATAAAGGAAGAAGAACAGGCGAATAAGTAAGGGACAAAGAAGGAAATTATTAGGGGTGGTACAAAGTCATGAATATCCTCATAAAAAGCACTAGAAAAAAAATTATTATTATATTTTTCGCCTCAACTTGAAGCACTGAAAAAAAGAAGTGGAAAGAGACAAATGAAGCGTTTTTGAAAGAAGGATGAAGGAGACGTAGAAAAGCTGTTTGTTGGATGAATGAGTGAATATAGAAATAATGTTAAACGTGGTGTTCATACACATTCATATTCATGGAATGAAAGGAATGAAGAGAAGAGGTGTATTAAGGGGGTTTAAAAAGGAAGCTATTGATGTCTTCGAAAGACAAGTATTGCGAGCGATTTATGGACTTGTAAAGGAAGGAGAACAGTATCGAAGCCGACACAATGACGAACTGAATCAGTTGTTCCAGGATACTGATATTATTACAGTTCTCCGTGCAAATCGCTTGAGATGGGCTGGGCATGTGTTTAGATGTCCAGCAGATGTCCACAAGATAAAGACTTTATAGATGGCAAGAGATCTAGAGGAAGACCAAAGAATACCTGGATATGTTGACAATGACGCTAGAATCCTTAATATCCTAAAATGGCAGAAAGTCTCGAAGGATAGAGCTGTCTTTAGACTATCTCAGAACGCGGCAATGGGCCTACGTGCGCCCCAAGGAAGTAAGTAGTAAGTAAAAAGGACTCGATGGTGTTGGCAGTTTTGTATTTTTGGACCTAGTCATGACAGTGATGATCATGGATATGATACTTGAACTAGAAATTATTTTCTAGCTTTGTTGCTATTTTGAATCGTAAGAGCTGAAAAAGATGCTCAAAGCATCCAATTGAAGACTGCAGGTAGACATGACAATAAAAAAAGTAGTTCAGATGCCACAAAAAGTTGAGAATCTAAATTTTGTATTGTAAATTTGACAAACCCTAATTTGCTATAGCGACTATTAAGGGTATAGCTTTTATTGCATAGCTATAGACCATTATAACCTGATAAAGCGGTTGAACATTCCTAATAAACGCCATTGACACCGAAATAAAATCATAAAACCCCTAGCTACATCCCCCGACTGTAGTAAAAAGCAGGAATATGATACAACAAGAATATTATTAATGTAAAAGAAATGAATAACATTAAGGAACATCACATAATTTGTTAAACGGAAATGAAATGAAATATAATTGTAATAATGTTAGGAGAATCTGTAAATGACGTCTATTGTTAAGTTGAGTATTTTAAAGCATGTTATTATTCCTCTTTAGATTTCACTGTCGAGATAACAATCTCGCTTTGCTTTAATTTCCTTCCATCAAAATGACTGAATGGAAAATATTTTTTTCCCTCATTTGTTATTTTTCAAGTGAAAAATGGAATTGATACTGAATTTTAATTTTCATTCCAAAACATCTTTTTTTATTGAGTTTTCATTACGAATAATTGTCATGATTTGATATTGTTGACACAGTTACTGTAAAATTATGAAAAGTAAATTTAATGATGTTTACAGATGAAAACAAATTTGATTTTCGGGTGATTTTGTTTCAAATAAACCGGAAAAATTATCGAAAATATTTATTTTTGAGCATTTTCATTCAGGTTTGAAGATTTTTGTTGGATGTTGAAGAGTTTCGTCAGTGCATTTGTCTTGTCCTTTGATATTTAAAGGTTGCAACATAGCTTTCATGGGTTCAAAACTGAAGTGATCAGGTTATTGCTATTTTGAGTCGCATACATGTAATTGTGCTTCGCCAAGCCATTGACTCTGATGATTCAAC